AGTATAGAGAGAGAGAGAGAGAGAGAGAGAGAGAGAGAGAGAGAGAGAGAGAGAGATATTATTATCATCATATACACACATAAGCCTAACAGAAGAGATGTTCACTAGAGAATAAGACAATGTGAAAGAATCATTCTTTTCTTGACAATGGAATGACAAAAGAAAACATCAACTTAAGTTGTTGGGAAGAAAAAAAAACCCCAACAACAACAGCAAACAACAACAAATAAAAAGAACGTGAGAGAGCAATGAGCTCAGTCCAGATCAATGTCAACATACATAGCAAAATGGTGAATGAAAAAAGAAGAAGAACGGGGCGCCAGCTCTCATAAGCAATGCGTCTATCGCAAAAGCTTAACGCCAGCAAGGTTTATGACAGTTCAAGCGGTGCACAGATCCATTCTGGTAATTGAGGTCCAAAAGAGAATGAGGGGTGGGGGATGGTGATTGCTGTCATTGGCGTTTGTTTACTGCTTTCATAAGTTAACGTATTAAAACGGATGTTGTAAGCGCTAGAGACCCTGTAATCTGTCTGAACTGGCAAAAGCTGATAACCGTCTGCCACCGGAGGCGAGAGCGTTAAGATACAGGCTATGATAAATAAGAGCGTTCTTCAGCCGGAATCTGTGTTGTGATCCACATGCCCAAGCCCGAAACGCTCGACGTATCTCCTTGTTGAAGAGTCCGTAAAGGAGCGGGTTTACCGCTGAGTTCGCAAGTAAGACCCAGAGAGACAGATCTAAAGCCCAGCCGGGAACAGCGTCGCTCCTGTGAGATCTGAGCACACTGAGAGCGGTATGAGGCAACCAGCAAAGGAGGAAGACAAGCACTAGCAACCCTAACCACACAGCAGCTCTACGATCTTGGCGTACCATCAGTTCTTTAGCCAGTTTCTCACCCTCATTGTTAGAGTTCGAGGACGCCCTTCTAGCGCTCAGATGTGGGCGTTTAAAGCTACTCAAGGTGGATCCGATTTTACTGTTGGAGACTCCTCCAGAAACAACATGTGATAAACTACGCCTTCGGGGGAGGGATAGTTGAAAGGAAGAGCCAGATTGCGGGTGGGACCTGGGTAATAGCACTTTGGTGCATACCGAATGTCGACGCAGGACACCGTCTGCCACCCTCGAGCAACGTCGATGATGTTTGCTGACTTCCTGAGAGTTGCAGTGAGGTTTAGTGTCGATCTGAGAGGTTGCCATGTCCGACAGGAGGTGCATTTGTTGTTGTATCGCCGCGTCGTCCTGATTGCAAGAGACGACAGCATCCGGAAGTGACGTGACAGAGACGTCGTAGAGATAGAGGCGGTCGGACGAGCTCACTGAACGTCGAATTTGAACTCTCTTTCTCCCCAGAATTCCACGATACAGGCTCCCGTTGAGAACGAGCATCGCAGAGACAGGGATCACGTATTGAGCTGCGGACACAACCATCATAAAGAGGAAATCATCAGCAAATGGCAGCTGACATCCTGGTTGGTTGTTTGGTATTAGGTAGGAGCTTTCAATTTCAGTTCTATTTTGGTGTGCCGTAGAGATATTTATCTTAGCTTTAGCATCTGGGAGTTGAAAAATCCAGTCCCACATCACTACCGCCAAGATGTGAGTGGAGAACCCGAAGACCCAGAGCAGAAGGACTGCCAGTACGGCCACTCTCTTACTTCTGCGGGCTCGGTAGGAGAACGGGTAGTGGATAGACCACCATCGGTCCATGGTTATGAGCAGAATACTCAGCAACGACACGTACAGCGCACCCTGGCGGAGAGTAAGGTAGAGATGACAAACTATGTTGGAGCTCTTTTCTAACGAATTAGAGTCTGTAAAATGTTCAGAGACAAAGTCTCGATCTTTGGCATGGATCGACGAGCCATATGGGTGATGATGATACTCGTGTCTACGCGCAAGTCGAGCTATTTGGTGTCCGGTGGTGACTAACATGCACACTCCAATAATGAAATCTGCCAGAGCCAGACTGACCAGGAACACGTTCTTACAGCTGCGGAGGGAACGCTTGACCTTGAACATCCAGAGTACGAGGCCGTTACAGACTATAGTCACCAATGACAACGTCACTAGAGGAACTGCTTGTGCCCACAACACCAGGAACATGCCGGCGAAGTGAGACTCTCCGGTTTTCGCCTGGTTCCGAGACAGAGTGGCAGCACAGGGAAAGTACTGTGTTATAGCCATCATAGACCTTGAACCATTAGGAGCCTCTCATTCGGAAAGAATGGTCCCAGAGTGCTCAAAACGAGTACGAACATACCATTCAGGTGTATAATTAGTCACTAATGAATCAAAGCAAAGTACAAAGTAGACGTTTTCTAGAAGAAAGCTCTTTCTTTGTAAAAGAAAAACAACAACTTCAGAAATGAAAAAAAATCAGCATTCGGAAAGGTGTGGCCGGAATTGAACTGTCCTGTTCAAAGGAAACACGTGACGTAACGAGTATCGAGATGAACTGCACGTGTAAAACATCGAGGAAACGATGCCAGGCACTTAAACTTCATTTAAGCCTTCAAGGGACAGTGAGCGGCAACTGAAAACTCGTAAATGATAAAAACTAACTGTTCACTGTTCTTGCAACCGAACTACAACTACTTAGATCTAGTTTTCTTTTTCTTTTAACTTGGTCACACACAGTTTCTGAGGAATACGTTGGCAAGAGCCACTGTCAGTCTTTTGACTCACAAAACCACGACCATATCCTTTTATCCTCAAAATCGAAAATGTTCTGTTCTCTGTCTTCTCCAGCAACGAATGATAAAATTAATTACGCGAACAGGCAACGCGCAAAGTCTTGTCGTGCTCTCTGTGGCGGGAGCATGCGCTGCATCCTTTGTACTGTCAGCTAACTAGGCCTAGCATGTGCGGTCTAGTTTTGTGAAAACTGGGAGGCGGTGGTGATGGTCGGTTTGCTCTTCTTCGGCTCTGTGTCTCCGCGTTCACGTGTGGAGAAGCGCGCAACGAGGTTGGTGGGAGGGGAGGATGGGGGGGGGGGGGGGGGGGGGGGGGGAGCGAAGATGCGATGCTTGAGTTACGTATGATTCTGGAAAGAGCAAGATATTCGTACGTTGATATCGCCGGATCTACCGCGCTGTTTTGTTTTTGTTTTTTGTTTTGTTGCTGTTGTTTGGTGTTTATCTTTACTTAGACGTGACCTTTTGCAATAATATTAGCACGTAGACGTACACTTTGGTGACATAGATAGGTAGACAGATGCATACCTAAATACTTACACGCTCAGATGCAGACAGACAGACAGACAGACAGACAGACAGACAGACAGACAGACAGACAGACAGACAGACAGACAGACAGACAGGCTACTGGAAATTGGATAAACAGATTAACAAACAGAAAGGTAGATAACTGACTGGCAAATCAATTAACGAATAATAAACCAGTAACGATACATTCTTTCCATAAATTAATTGATTGTCTCTTTTTCCAGAATGTTGCCCTTATCAAAGTTGTATTTCACGCAAACAGCACTGCATGTGTTAGTGGTATCAAAGTTATTGGGGCAAACGTAGTCGGCTTTATCAATCCTCTGTTTGAAAATAGAGTTGTTATCAACATTGCTATGAATTTAGAAACGTAGTTATCGTTATCAAAGTGAAAGTCATGCTGCAATCAAAATCCTAGCACTTTTGAAAGGTTTTGACCGCATTTCAGAACAAGTACACAATGAATTTTAGCAGACTCTACAGTGCACATGCAAAGAAAGGTGTTGGATTTAGGACAGTGTCAAACGATCGAAATTCAATAAATATGAACTTTGAAACTCCCCAACCAACCGGAGTTCATGAATGCCACATTCGAGATTCGAACAAGAACCACCCACCCCAGAACCCAGCCTGATATCAGCTGAGCTGCTGAGCCAACTACTTGCCCGCTATTATTACTATGTCAACCATCATAGAGGTGTAAAAAAAACGACAACCGCTCCTGAAAGATTTTTCTTTGTAAAACTCACATGACATTGTAACATTCGATTTAAGAAAACAAATTGTGTTCATAACAACTTATTGAAGTTTGGTTTATCCACCAACTCATTCAAACGACAAACAATTCAAACACTTCTCATCACAAAAAGACACCTTTCCAATACGTCCTCTTGGGCTGACCAGAAATTCTAGAGTTTACAAAAATCAACCTCGAAGTTTTAAAAAAAAGCAATAACCTGTGATTTCAGCTTTTTGGCTAACCCGGAACTTATGTAACGTAAACCTGTGCATAATACTTTAGTTACATATTCATATGTATATAATTATTTTCTCAAAACTTAACTGCAGCCTTGAGCGTTGTTGTTACTGTTGCCTTTATAATTAATACTGTCATAATTAAAATCAACCATAGAGCTAAACATTCCGCTCTCAAATTTAATAAACATATTATTAAAGTGACGACAACTTTCACGTATAATGGCTGATTTCGTACACACTACACATAACACTAAAGAACGATGAGTTGTGTTTTTCAGAAACCAAACGGCGTATGATCGAACTGCCATCCACATAGAAAAACAACTTGATTAGATTCTTGCCTTTACACATATTATCCTTCAAAATGTGACAAGTGAAGGATCTGTATACCACGTTTGCACGCTTGCATTAGATAACCCGGCAAAGACAACTATTCATATCTTCCGCTAGATAATCATAAATGCATTGCTTCATTTTCCTCAACGCCCACTCCTGGTCCCGCTTCCCATTCTGTTAATGCATAATTTATGTAAACAAAGTGGGCTTGTGTGTGTGTGTGTGTGTGTGTGTGTGTGTGTGTGTGTGTGTGTGTGTGTT